AAGTCCGGGGTTGGTGTTGGGGTTCGAACAAAAGTCCTCCGGAGTGATTATTCGATGACCTTTACCACTCGGGCACCATCACAAACGACTGCTATTAGCCCATGTATGTTTTGTGTGTGTTAACCCAGATTAAGGCTCATATCCCTTGCAGAACGGTTGTTCAAAGGGGACAGGATAATTCTCCATGTGACTAAACATATCATCATCCCGGAGATGTTGAGGTTTCAGGAAGTGGTGATATCTCGATCTCACAAACTTGTCATGTTCCCATAGAACAGTTCGTTTCTTTTGATACGGGTGACCTCAGAGTAAATTGCTCATCCGGAACACCGAAGCATAGAGACAAAAATTAAAAGAACACAAAATAAGACAAAAGGGTCAATTTTTGTTCACAGAGAAAAAGAAGCGAGAACAAGAAAGGCTGTTCAGAAGTACTTACTCTCCTGAGATTTGTCTGGTTTGGTTTTCCCGCTTTGTTGGCGAACTAACTCATGGTTCTCTTCATGCAAACTGGTATCCAGATCTGCATCCGTGACAATAGTCTCATTGTCGGTTTTGTCTGCGTTAGAGTCGTGAGGAGACGAGCTCTGTTTGTTGAGATCATCAATTGATGCCATTTGACGAGACTCAAGGTGTTGTATGGGATCGGGCTGAAGTACAAGGGCAAAAACTCGTGAGAGTAATATATTGCACTTTATGTGCAAGACGAATCTAACAATGGAAAGTGGAGAAAGGTTGAATAGAACTGACGGTAGGAGGGGTTAATTCTTATCATCGAAACCATGTTTGAAGCTTATAGAGAAACAACGAACCTCCATGGGGAGACCCACGAAACAAGAGCAACACAGAAACCCTGATATTCATGAATTCGCAAGGGTTAAAGCAAGAACATGCATAGTTAGTATTGTTTTTACTGTCCTTATTGGTGTATATAGCATATTAGTAAATCCGTTAAGATTCAACGCGAAGGGTACTAACACATAAAATCGGGTATGGGCACCAGTGAAGTTCGAGTTAAATTTCAGTTTGTAACTTTTATCGGATGGATTCTCACTTGAAAGAGAAAAGAAACTAGCGATCCGGAGATACTCGGAGGTTTGTAAGGCGAAGCGTTTTGTGGCATACCATGAACAAAAATTCATCTTATATAATCACAGCGAAGTGAAATAATTGGTGCACGCAAACACTAGGATTTCGCATTTCTAAGCCAAATAAAATGCACATTTTCATCAATTATACATATAATTTACTATTTTGTGATATTCAGGGGACATCAACTCAAGGCACGCAGAAAAGTCGATACCAGGCAAAATGGTCTTTTCGTGATTGGCCCAAAACGCTGTATTGCCTGGCAGATCAAGACCACGGCATTTCCAGCGATTGGAGGTCGTTACCATAAGCCCACAGATTATGAAGTATTATGCTAAAAAATGAACAATGTACCGTGGGTTTCACCACAGACTAAGAAACGCTACCTTGCAGAAGCGTTGGATAGCAAGGCTCACAGCCTTTGCCTTACACTTGGTTTAATTGTTTCAACGTATAAATTTTGCTATCTTTTGCTAGTTTGTCGTTTTTTATGGAGCACGTGACTTCCACAGTCAAACCTTAAGATACTCACGCCATTGATTTCTATTCTGGGCTATCTCTCTGACCAACAACAATCCTCATCCCTTGGGTCGTAACCTGGAAGGCGCCAACCGGCACCAACCGAAGTCAAAGCTGAAGCTAGCTCCTTTACACCGCTACGCCACGTTATGGTCTAACCACCGCAACGTTTCTTCCAGCCCTGCATAGCAAGTGCAAAGAGAGCACCGTAAGATAGGCAGGCATACGCAAAACGTGACCACGTCACCTGAGGCGGTGCAGAGCAATTAGTTCTTTTAGAGAATGACTATCCGCAACCAACACACGACGACAAACAAACAAGTCGTTATTCTTGTTATCTTAATCCATTGTAATTGGTTGATCTCTATTTCGATGTTTTCTACCCCAAGGTTGAAAAGCAGGAAAAACAAAACTTTTCAGTTAGTGGTAAAACCTAAAACCCAATGCATCCTGTATGCGAATGTAGTAAACCTATTCAGCTTCACTTTAGAAGAATACTTCCCATAATTAATCACAAGGGTTCAATTAAGGAAATCCACAGGCACAAAATACCCTGACGCGCAATACCTTACGGAATTCTCTTGAATTCGAAGTGAATTGTAGGAATTTTTAGGACATGTCCATCAGAAACAAGCTTATCTCACAATACGTGGCATAGAAATTTGTGATTAATGATGACCCGTGCGTCAGATTACCTACATCCGTCATGTGCTTAGTATTTCAAATGGAATGGGTCTTAATCTTCGTTTTGATAGACAATACCATGTAGAAGGCCTGAGAATGTAGTTCTGTTACACGGGTATCCCAAATTTTAATTGAAAAGATAATCAAACAAAAGGGGAACTCACATCTGCAAGGGTAGAGCCCGTCTTTTTCGTCTCAAATGCTTTTATGCTGGAGTCGTCTCGCAAACAGAGATACGAGTTATCACCAAGCTGATCACGGATATCTATGAAGATGAATCAGAAGGGAAGTAAGGCGTCGATGACCGCGAAATCCAAGAACAACCCTAGCCGTATTTGGTATAGTCTTCATTGCTCTACAGATTACTGAAAAACAATTGTACCGTATCTATTTTGCCCTGCCTGCCCTAGTGAAAAGTGAGAATTTCTGTGTGCTGAAGTAATGAATGATTTTAATTTGATTCTGACGTAAGAAAAGGCACGCGTAGTATTAGTATGCTGTTCCGTATATTCAGTAGCTTGGCATTAAGCTGGATGGTACTAGTGCTAATTATTTCAAATGAACAAGTCACGAGCACCAAAGACGTCCCCTTATTCTACGGCGGAGTGATTCTACCATGTTCAGTCGCACACGATAGAACAAATAGATAGTAACAAAGACAACCGGGCAGTGAGCTCATCTCAGATACGGAATCCCAGCCAAAGACCATAAGGGTAATAGATGCATTGGCCATAGGATGCCTCAAACATGACAACAATCGATGTGAGTGCAAAGGGATTGTTTTACGTATCACCTCGACATTATAGCACCGACTGGTTACAATGTCAGAAGGCAGTTTTAACGTCTTGAAGATCAGATTTGTTTTTTTAGGGTGATAGGACGAGATCTTTCAATTCGACTGTCTACGTTTTTGGATAAGGAAACAGCATTCGGAGCAGATAAACAGTCAATTTCAAATCGTTGAATAGCTTGTAAAATTGTGTCAGGAGCTGCAATTACTAGTTTAGGAAACCTCATGAAAATGGTTATGATAAAGGATAACAAACTACCAAAAACAACTTTACCAAAACGGTGAGAAAATGATAAATAGCATTTCAATATTGTGATTGCTGAAATGCTTTAGAATCATTTGGAAAATTAATGCCAAATAATAGCTGGTGCCACACAGTGAGAACGAGAAAATCAGATTGGGAGGATAAACGCGGAGATATCATAGCGCACGATAAGTGAGCACTGTGTATTTTTATTGCACACCATTGTGTGATGAACAGCAGACACGGTAAACAACAAAGTCACTAAAAACTGAAAAGCCTAAGCCCCGGGACTTGGAGTGGAGAACCACAGAAGGGTCTACCAAATTTTGTAGCTTTGGATTCTTCGCTACAATTCACCTAAATCTCTTGGATCACCGCAAACCAGTTTGATAACAGATCATTCTTCTCTGTCAGCTTACCGACTGGCCATCATCCAACCACTGTTATTATATTGTGCCAACAAAAACAAGCTGGAAGATGAGAGTATCAGGTGAAGAACACGAATAGAATTCTTG